AACAGAAGTATGCCATGATACAAAAGGAGTATCTAGCTATTAAGTGGGCAGCTGAGGCCTTCCGCTACTACCTCCTAGGGGCCTGTTTATTTTGTCACTGACCGTGCCCCTTTAACATGGCTTAATGCTACATGGGAGGATAACCCCCAGTTGACAAAGTGGTACCTGTCCCTGCCACTTTTGGGGTTTTTTTAATACACAATTGCCCTGGGTCTGTACATGCAAATTCAGACTTTTTCTCCTGAGAAGCAAGGAGAGGGAATTAAAAAAAATTGGAAGAGCGTATCCTAGGTTCCACTCTTGAAAGACGGAATGTGTAACAAGGCGCATGGCTCAGGGGCTGGAGTCCAGCTGCAGGGGGTTTGAGGGAATAGTCTACCTGCCTATAGCCTTTTGGCAGCTGACAGGGATGACTGGCTGGCCCTAAGAGAAGTTAAAAGCTCCCAAGTAGCGTAAAAGGGAGAGAAAGAGAGGAGGCTGGTATACTGAGGGAGAAGTACAGAGCCTGGGTTGCCTCTCTCTCTCTCAATCTGAGAAAAGACCAGAGGTTGACTTTTGTTTGTTATTGGCATGTTTGCTTATGTTGCTGCTTGTTTTGTTTGCTGTAGGGACAAGATTTCCATATGTAAAATAAATGTACTGGCAACTGGAACTATGAGCTGATGGGCCTTTATGGGGAGGCTGGCTCATGGGTCAGGCTAAAGGAGGGACAATCCACTACAATGTGGTTCAGATGAAAAAAGGCATTCCCTAAATCTGTATGATTTCAACAAAATTAGTGCTTCATCTACCCAAGGAGTTTTTTGGTCCCAGCCCCCCCCCCGGGATTCTCTGCCATTCCCAGTGCCAGCCACCTTATCCACCTTTTCTCTGTCCTCTTTAGGACACTGTCTTGGATTCAAAATGGATACATTGGGTTTAAAGTGGATTTCCCTCGCATACTTTTAATTGATTTTATTTAAAATTTAGTATATAATAGATGGGACTGCCCAGTAGTCTCTGAATTTTTTAATTGGTGTTAACTTCTGAACTTGCTTACATAAATAAGACATACTGAACTATTAATGGAATCCTTAGAAATAATCCACTTATTAAAACCATTTTAGAAGCATAAATGATGAGCGATTAAAAGAATTACTTGTTTAAATATTTAAGTCAAAACTACCTCTTCAGAGATGAAATACCAGAGCGTATATCAGCTTCTGAATTAATATTTGTCAAGCAATTCTCTGATTAGTTTTATTGTCAGTTCTGAAAATGGCAAAAAGGTGGCACTAGATATTCGAGTTAACAGTTGTTAAGCCCAAAAAAGCCATAGCTCAATAACACTATTTATGTCCTATGACTAACACATGCATTATTGGCTATATTACCCAACCAATTTTTAAGATATCCAATTAAAAATAAATTTTATGGTAATAAGTTAGAAGTCTACAAATAAGCTGTTTGCATCTTTGTATAAAAGTGCTGACCAAACATGAGAAAGATTGGTAAGTCATTTGTAACAATGCACAATAAGCCATTAGTAAACAAATACAACATTATATATTATAATGCCTCACTTAACTGAATAAAATCTTCCTACCTGTACTACTTGGTGAGCATTAGTATCATTGAGTACTAGTTCAGTAATTGCAGCACAACAAGCTAGAATAAAAAAAAATCAGAAATATTCAGGGCTAGATTCACATAAATACTTATGTGGTTAAAAATGCAGACAGGTAAATTGATAACCTAGTAGAAACCACAAAAGTGCCTAAGCAGGTTAGGTGCCTAATTCCAACTGACTTGCCTGAGGGCTGTTATAGGAAGCTGCTGTAATTAATTCACCAGTGATATGGCTCACTTAGCCTCTCATGGCAAGGCCTTTTAGAGCAATAATAAATTTAGAAGATTTCTAATAGAACATCTCCAGCCCAACCATTTTATGAGTGACCTAACATACTAAAACTTTGATTTAGAGTAAACAGGTAATAACTAAATAAAAATAACCTTGAGCTAAAAAAACAAACTTTAGAACAGTAACAGTAGATGAGCTATTGTTAGAGCTGAAGGGAGATGTATCTATTCTACATATATATATATACAGATATCACACACGCACACAAAAAACTGAAAACCTACCCCTCTAAAGTTATATTGATCAATATATATACCCCTCTATATATTTTAGAGGGGTAAGCCTTCAGGTTTTGTTTTTTGGGGGTTTTTTACATACAGCTCCTGAGGATCAATCAATATAAAGCTCTTACCTACCAGGGCCATGCGAAGCTTTGGTCTCCGATTCAATTCAGCAGAGATTTGGCCCGATTCAGCGGCTGAATCTCCAAATCTGAACTGAATTAAGAGACTCTTTAATCTCTCCGAATGGAATCGGAACCCTCTGAATTGATTCAGAAAGATTCAGGGATTCAGATATAGACACAGCTTTAAATGCTTTTTCTACATACCTCTAGGTACCAGATGGCTCATGAATGCTGAGATGGTGGGGTGCACGGAGTGTCCCACAGGAGCACAGGGGCCTCTGCAGCGCACTTGGCAGCAGACCTAGAAGTGGACCAGAAGCACTTCCGGTTCACTTCCGGGTTTGACAGGGAGCACGTGGGGGGGTCCCCAGTGTCCCTCCAGCTAAGCAACTGGTGCCTCCTGGGTCTGGTGCCTCCTGGGATCCACTTCCAGGTTCACCGCCGAGCACACAGGGGGCCCTCCGCACTCCTTTGGGATGCTCCATTCGCCCCACCATCACGGCATTCACAAGCCGCACTTGGTACCTTGACGTATATAGAAAAAATATTTAAAGCTGTGTCTATGGCTGAATTGCTGATTCTCTGAATCATCCTCAAATCTTCAGATTCGCAAGAGAATCAAGTCTAATAAAAATTGCACTGAAAATATTTCTGAATTGGTATTTTTAATGTATGCAAAAATGCTGTAAATACAAAAGCTAGGACAGTAGGGGTGCAAATATAAGTCAACCTTGGGTACAAGTTAAGTGTGATTCTTATGGTTCTTTCGGAGACGTAATGGATTTATAATTAGAACAGCAGAATGCATACCTGCTTGAAGGGAGAAAGTATTTTCTTGTATTTCTTGAGGACTCAGATCTTCTGATAAATGAAGCTGTTGGATTCTCCCTGCTGCATTTGCACTAGATAAACTTCCAATGGAAGAACGGTCAGAAACTAGATTTCTATCTCTGGAAAAAAAATGAAAATATAATGGGCAAAAAGATTTAATAATTACCTTTATTGACTGTCTCTGAAATTTGCCTATACTTGTATTTCTGTTTCTATTCTGACTAGATAGATAGATACTCCACAAAAACTATACCAAAGCAGTTACACATTTTATTAAAAGAATATATATGATTCATAAACCATAAAGTGCATTTCCATCATTTCAGGTAAGTATTTCAGTAGTGTTGCAGATTTAAACAAGGGTGCAATTACATGTTATACTTAAACCATACTAAATGCATGGGATGTTAAGCAGTGTTAACATTAGAATGTTCTTCCTGTAGGCAGCCTCACATTAAGGCGTAACACCATTTGTTACTTGCATAACTCTGACTTGCCACTACAGAGCTTGTGGATCAGGGGTGTGACTAGGAGCTCTATCCTGGATCTTGTGGGGAGGGAGACTGTGAACATTTCATCCTGCAATGCTGAAGGACTCATTTCATCTCTGTGGAGCAGACCTACCATGAGTTAGATAGGATGGCCCACAGTTAACCCTTGCCTGAAGTAGCATACATTTGAGATGCTCAGAGGGTACTTAGCACAAATTAGCAAACTTTAATGTGCAGACACTTGTGTTTTAAGTGCCCTTAATATGGTCTAAATTTAACGTGTAATTTCACCCCAAGATATTGAGAGATACAGCATACACTGTAATCTAAAGCAAGAAGAGATTTGGGGTGCCCAAATACAGATATTTTAAAAGGTGTCTGAATTCCAGTGAGTAGACTACTCAGATTTTTTAGGAAAATAAGGCCCCTCTTAAATTGGCTTAAATTAAGCACCTAAAAATTCTGTACCCCTCATCACTAGACTAAAAGTTTAAGACACCGTAAAAAACACAAATAATGTCCCTTCCTACCTGTCTAATCAACATAGGAACTCTCTGGACATTTAACTACAGATATTTTATATATTTTTAGTAAAATGGACAAAACATATTAGTTAAAAAGTATGGCATATATCTAAACAAAAAAATCACTTCTTAATCACCAAGACTTGAACTAATTTCTCTCAATTTCTTTTACTTCCTACAGAATGTTAGGTATACCAATACCTGCAAGAGCAGAAGAAGACTATTTTATTAAATGATAAATGGCTGTCACAGAGCAACAAGTTCAAAGGGGTGGAAACCCCTTTTCTGGGGCAAGGACCACAGTGAGAAAACCCTCCGGCCTCGAGGAAACAAGCCCAAAAACCCCAGAATGAAAAAAAGCTTACTGACCACAGGAATGATGGCAGAGAACTGGTAGCCAGGAGAGAAACTGCCCACGCACTCCATCAGCAGCTTATTTGTGTGGCTGGAGCCAGTGCGGGGCAGTGACATCAGCCGGCAGAACCATGCAGGAGATTTAAAAGCTGGCTGCCGGGGAGAGGGAGAAGAGCACCATCTGTGAAGCAGCTGGGAGCTCCCAGCTGGTACGGCTAGCAATGGTTCTGAGCAGGGACCCAGAAGGGAGTCCTGAAGGGGAGCTTACATGTCAAAGGATCAGTGCCCAGCGTTGGATGTGGAGGGGATGCCGAGGGAATAGCCAGTGATGCACACGCAGGACGTGCAAGTCAGGAGGGGAGAACACTACCTCCCCATCCCTTTTCAGTTTGTTTAGATTCAGCTATAAATTGTTGTTGCCCTCAGGCCAGAACATAGACCCATGGGGTAGGTACGGGACTGAGAGAGTAGAGGCCCTTGGGAAGTAACACACGCAGCCCTAGTTGGCTAGGCTGGAAGGGACATAACTACAGAGAGGGAGAGTGAGCCTCTCGGTCCAGTAAGGATCTGACAAGTCAAGTTTGACCGAAGCAGCTCATGTCTAGTAAGCCAGTCCGCAACCAGAACCAGCGGGCAGGACGAGATTACATTGTGAGACCAGAGTGGGGTGACGTCATAAAGGCCAATGCCAGGGAGATTCGGGAACATCTACCCCATGGTCAAGTCCATCTGGTTGGCGTATGGAAGGGGTGTAGGGGAGGTGGAGCCCCAAGACCATCCGCTGATGGCACCTCCAAGCAAAGCCCAACTAGAAGGAAACCTCCCACACTAGAAGACCAAGACATGGTGGGAGAGTATCAGGAGCTTCCTTGGGACGTGACATATAGCTGGAACAGGTGCCCCAGGCAGGTCCCAACTGAGGTAGGACCACCTGATCCTGAGAAGCTTGGAAGCTCCTACTCAAGGCTAGATAGGCACAATGGCCAAATGGCTATGTAATCATATTCGATTATGATATGAAGTCATTGGTAATTGTTACTGGTCCTAAAAACTGAAGACCTACCCCTCCAAAATATGAAGGAGTTGCTTGATTCCTCCCCAAATCCTGATTTCCACACAAATCTCAGGGTCTTCACAAACCTGTACCAAAATCCAAACTACACTCCACAGAAGCTTGAGGTGATCTGAATGTAGCAAACTGAGCAGGATGGGAACTCCTTCATACATTTTCACTTGCTCTTTGAGTTGTGACTCTGCACAGAGGAGACGTAGTAATTCAGCAGTCAACCTGAAAACATATCAGCAAGAAATTATAAACCGCCATCATTCATTTGCGCTCACCACATAATTGTTATTGCAGTCACTATTACACTGTAGTAACTAGGAGCTACTGTATATACAAAGGTGTCCAAGCAACCTATAATAAACCCCTCTGAAGCTGGTAGGCCTAGCAGCTGAAGTCCCTTTCAGGCTAAATGAGGGAACAGTTAAATGATTATAACAGGTGAAATAGAGACAACTGCCCAAACACAGACCAGCATGGTAAGGTTGAGCAGAAGTTATGCCATATGGGCAGAGGGGTTTCCTGTGGACTCAGTAGGAAATTGTTTGCATAAGACTGCATTTGAGAGAAGCAGAAAAAAACACCAGAAAGGCAGGAGCAAAACAACTAAGGACACAGCAGAGGAAATACAGGAATAAAGCCCTGAGAGAAAGCTGAGAAAGAGAGAGAACAAAAACAAACAAAATCTTACAGGTATAGTGATGCCTGTAAAAGATCCTTGTAATAGGGCTGTGTGAAGCTTCGGGTACTGATTCAATTTGGAGGAGATTCAGCCTGATTCAGTGGTCAAATCTCCAAATCCGAATCGAATCAGGAAACCAATTAAAAGGTCCAAATTGATTTGAAGCTCTCTGAATCGATTTGGGAAAGATTCAGACAGCTTCAGTGATTTGGGCATCCCCTGCTTGCTGCAGCAGGGAGCTGGACCTGGATTCCATGCTGGTAAATAGAGAGTGGAGGACGGGGGCTGGAGGAGAGGGGAGGGGACCATGGGGGGCCCCTGCCAGGTCCCATCCCCTGCCTGCTCCCCCAGATCCCCTGAGCACTCCCTGCCTGCTGTCCCAGCACCCCTCATGGCTGCCTCACCTAGCCTCAGCTCCCGGCCCTTTAAAAAAAAAAATAAATAAATAAAGGCTGGACTCACCGGCTACTGCAGCAGCCTCAGTGCTTCTGGGGGCTCGTGGCAGAGCCCCCCACGCAGCGCAGGGCAGTGGGGAGCACCAGGGATTGCCCCACCACCTGGCAGCATCCGGTGAGCGTGGGGCTCTTTTTTTTTTTTTTTAAAAGAGCCGGGAGCTGGGAGAGTGGGCAGGGCAGCCATTGAGAGTGGGTGGGGGATGGCGCAGATTCGACTGCAGCCAAAGCTCCAAATCAGATTCAGCTGAATAGATTTGGGACAGTGATCTGAGTCACCGAATCAAATCACTGTTCCCTGAATCAGATGAATCTGAAGCGAAGACTAGCCGCTTCGCACAGACCTACCTTGCAACTGTGAGCAAATATACATGGTCATATCAAACACTGGATTCCATCCATATTTTCTCCTCTTAATTAGAGAGGACAGTTTAGATCATAGTTAGGCTTACTGCTTGGTTCAGAAGGAGTTAAATGCTGTTGCTGTAAGTTATGTACTATTAGGTAATTGACGATATAATTAAAGTAATTACATTAACTTAAGTACAGATTTACATTATATAAATTTATAAAGATAAAAAGTCTGTGCCACTCTCCTGTATGTGTACTATCAGGTGCAGTACAAACACAATCAGAGGCCCTTTGAGTTCAATACAATTGGAGTCCCAGCCCTACAATAAGAAACTCAATGTTTGGTTTTCTTTTCTCACCTAGACTATATGCTCAATCCAGAAAAGCTGCAGGGTAAAATATTTCAGAAAAAGAATGCATCCAGAAATAGTATGCAAGGATGGGAAAGAAAGAATATTGCCTATTAAAAATCGGAGCACAGAGGAACTTTGAATTCCCCAAAATGACTGGAAAAAGGTGTACATCCCAACTTCCTTGAAAGCTCCACGTATGTTACTATAGGGCACTTAGCCTGGAGCAGTTCATGCTCCAGAGCATTTGTCACTAGACAAGATGCAGCAAAAAAGGGCATTAAATTGGCCATGTCCTTTAGCTTAACTTTTAGCAGCAGCAGCCCTTTGAATTATTATCACTCTGGCTCCATAGACAGTAATTTTTCAGATTAACTCTTACAGAGTACCATCATTTTTCTTAACCCCTTCTTTGCTGTTAGTGGATTGGATGGACTTCATAATATTTATAGGTGGTGGCAGAATAAGGAGTCAGAAGTTTAGATCCTTTCCGATCATTTTTTAATTCTGTGTTTACCATATTGGTCAGAAATACCACGAGACAAGATTCTCATAAGAATCCATCATTTTCTGCTAACATATTTGGCCTGTAGTCACTAAACAAAATGCTTTTGTATTAAACCTTTTGACCAGACCATTTTTAATCTGCTAAAAGATTTGATTTTATCTTTCTAATGCTTCATTTTCTTGTCCTTAACCGTAAGTGAAACAAGCAATAAAACCTGTTTTAAAATGTATAATACTGCATGTTAATTGGAATGCAGTCCTGTTTGAAGGCATTTTTTCCCCTGGGTGGTTTATTACAATGTACGCGGTAGCCACTTTCCCTTCAGTTTATTTCAGGCCTACTCAGCATGTTCAATTAAGCTGACATGACTTTGAAAAGAGTTAGGTTGCCTTTGGGCTCCCCTGCCCCAAGGCCTATAAGAATCTGAACTAACCTCTGGTATAAATTGAAACAGTTTTACCGTATAACAGCCCTCCAGACAAAAATCAGAGTTCAGCACGTACTCTCCAGCAGCATACTCATAACCCCACTTTGAGTGGTGAGATAGTAGCAAGGAAACCACAGCTGTCCCTTTAGGGCAGCATTTTGCAGCCATGTGCATGGCATGGTAGGCTGTCAATGGGAAGGAAGACAAGTAGTAGATAACTACTAGAGAACATTTTGTAACATCGATACTGGATTTAAAATACTGTAGTTCTCAAAACTTAACTGAACTCTTTTAAAACAGCATGTGAATCAAACTAAATATGTGCAATATTTCTGTAAATCAAAATACATTTTAAAGCAAAAAGGTACTTAACACAATTAATCTATAAACTAATGCTTACCTTTTAGAAAGCAAGTCATATTCATGTAATATCACCAACAAGTTTTCAACAATGGTGAGCTCACTTATCTTCTCCCTACATTCTGGACTACAAATGGAAAATTCTTAGATATTTATATAAATGAAAATGATATGAGATAAATTTATTTTTTCTTAACCTCCTCCCCTTATACCCCCCCCACCATTGCTTTGGCCAGTTACACTTTCAGTAATATGTCACATTGTATATGAAAGTTAAAAAATACATGTATACACGTTTGTCAGTATTGACATTTCAACAATTAATTACTTCTTAATTTCTATAGCATGAATTTCATAAAACTAACATGGTGAATGGGGAAAGGTTAAAGATTGAAATGTGCTCACAAAAATACTTTTAAAAAAACTAAAAAGTGAGGGTCTTTAGCTGAAAACTGAGTAGTTTATATTTTGCCAATGTTTGTTTATATATTTTATTTTCTGAGATTATATTTGGACAGAGAAATAAAATTAATATATGGAGTTTAGCTAAGCAATGGAACTCACAGTTTGCAAGTGAATAATTCAATTTACAGCACAGCACAATCAGCTAAGTTTTTACCATTCAGGCCCACATTTTTAAAAGAAATTAAATAAATGGAATTTAAGCACCAAAATCCCTTAAAGAATTGGTCCTAAATGTTTGTCATCACCTATGCCACAGCACAAGAAAGCACCACCACCAAGAGCAACGCTTAAATATATTCAATGCTTAAAATTCAATACCTACTCAACCACTTTCCTGAAACAAAGTGCCTTCTTTAGAATAAGTACAATATTTATTCATCATATATAACATTTATAATTTTATTATAAACATATAATTATATCTCTTCACATATAATTAAGGTTTTTGATGCTGATACATTGAAAAGAGCACTAAAAGGATAGAGAGCTTAAATTACCCCATAGAAAGAAAAGAAAATAGTATTAAAGAAATGGAGTTAGCTAAAAGTCAACTAAATATGCTGACAAAAATAAAAGCCCTTTTGGAAAGCTACTAAAGAAAAATCAGAGATTTAAAAAAAAAGCAGAGATTATACATTTGGCTCTCTGTTCACTCGTAGGGATTTAGTAGAAGTATTTTCCTGTCTACATGCAGGTAGACAGAGAAGCTGGTCACATCTACACATGCATTAAGGCACTTTTTCTAATGCACATTAAATTTAAGACCTCCAATGTGCACTAAAGAAATGCACATTAGGCTGCCTTAATGTGCAGTAATGAATGCACACAGTTTTTACATGACCCTTTAATGTACAGTAAAATAGCCTGCTGTGCATTAAAGCACAAGTGTAGACACGCCCACTGTGTGTTACTTTGAGGCAGGAAAAAATGGTATTTGCAGAAGTGATTTATACAAAGGCAACTGAAAAGGAATAATCATTTACTATCAGGTTAAACATATATAAGCAAAAGAATGTTATCTGATGTATGGAAGACCAAACTACATATGTATTATGATTCTAGTTAATAATGATTTTAAGAAATAAAGCTAAAATGAAATCAAAAAAAATTTTCAAACAGCCTCCATTTTGATAGACAGGGGATTATGAAGAAGCCTCTCTAAGGAAATCCCTATTTTATTTCAATTTACTGGATCAACTCTGTCCTCTGTTTTACTTTATTTGAAGTGTAAACTTTTTCTCCAAGGTTGGAAGTCCATAACAAAATAACACAGAACAAGTTATTTTTGTTCAATACAATTATTAGAATTGGAGATTGAAAATGCTGTATTTTCTCTTTTTTCTATTTATCCATACTAGAAATGCAACAATATGATGTTAGTGAAGAACAACCATTATACTGAAGTATTATTTTAACATACAGAAAACAGATAAATACAGAACTGAATTTGTTATGCTACAGGCAGATTTTTATTTTATGATATGCACATATTTAGTAAAATAGTGAAAACTAAGAATATATTATCAGAGAAGAACAAAAGCAGAAAGGGACTTCAAATCTGTTTTGGGAAAGA